CCCCCCCCCAAAACAGACCTCGGCTTTAACTGAGCTGCCGGAGCAGTCAGCCCTTTATAACGATAAGGACTTTCCTTTTTCCAAACAAAAATAAATAATATATCAATTTATAACAATCACGCCGCAAAAGGCAGAAAACGGTCAAATGGGAAATAAGAGCCCAATTAGCGACAGGTCCAGGTGACGACGCAGACGGTCTGAGCCCTCGGCCCATTCCTTGCACGGTGGCGCCACCATGTGGCCACTTCACACGCACTACATTAGTCCAGTCCCCCCCCCTTCCCATGGCAGCAAAGCATGAACGTACAGCCCCGCCCACAAAGCCACCCCCTGCAAAATGCAGCTCAATCCCCACCCCCACCAAACAGAAAAAGAATGGAAGAAAAAGTCATTTCGCTCCAAACACTGCAGAAGGAGCTGAGATGGCAGAATGAGCAGGGCACCTGGGGAAAGCTCTGCTGATCTGTTCACAACTCCTACACCCCCCAGCCAACCCCCCCAAACCAAGGATAACAGCAGCAATAAAAGGGCACTTTTCACAAATCTGCCCGCTGTACCAGATCAGCCATGGAGGGGGTGCGGGTCTTTTCCATAATACTTCAGGAGATTTTAAGCAACAGTCAGCCAAGTCACTGCAATGACCTAGGCGGCCCCACCCTCTCACCTGAGCCGACTCCCCCTCAATCCGGGGGGGCCGGATGCTGGACAGGTGGATGGTCTTGTACTCTCCGGAGACCAGCTTCACCACGATGGCGTCCGCATTGACGATCTGCATGACCTATTTCCATCGGAGAAACACGAGGGGGGGGGGGGGAGAACAGGAGGTTTAATCCATCAGAAAGCAGAGGAGGGATTTAAACTAGCGTCTTCATGCAGGATTTATCAACTGATCTTTAGTAGGACATCACAGCAATCCATCAGTCGTCAGACTCTGTAAATTAGAGAAAACCGATTAAGCAAAAAAGGACACATCTTGAGATTGATGGTGAGTACAGAGGACAGACTGAAACCTCAGAAAGGGTGCATGGATGACAGATCTGGATGCATCATGTGACGTTTGCAGGCATACCTGATCGATGTCACTACATGGACCAGAAATGGTCCCCCAAAAAGTACCTCAGGATAAAATGCAGCTCCTATTTGCCTTAATATTATGCCTAATCCCAAAAAATTACCTGGTCAACTAATCTGACCATCTCAGGTAAGCCTGCAGGGTGGTGATAATACTTCCATTTAACCATCTGTCTGCATTTCCCCCACCCTGTTCCACTGCCAGCAGGAATAATATATGTGGGAATGTCTGTATTCAGTCTTCCCTGGCCCACGACCTCCCAGGTAGCATATCGATTCCTCTACTCACAGCAGCCCATTACAAAAATTTTGACTTCCCACAGTGCAGAGACCTGACCATCCAAGGTTCCAAACGCTTAACACTTAGACGAAAATCAAGAACCCTACGATTCCCAAACATGCCATGATCCTTCACATTAACAGAGGCTTAAACATCCTTGACACCAACACCGGCTGCTCTTATCATCGAAGAACATGACAGCATCAATTTTGCCAAGAGCTGCAATGGAAAAATTATTAAAAGGGGAACCGCAGAGATACAAGAAAGGATGTTCTTAATGGGGGAAGAAACTACGTTCCGGAAGGTAACAAGGTACCACATGCCAAGGCCGACAATGTAAAGCGTGTCAGACTCGACACCCACAGCGACACCCTGTAGAAAAGTCCCTTTTACAATTCACGGGAGCGTTAAGAGACTGCTCACATCCAACAGTCACCAGCAAAAACATTCATCTTGCTGGTTTAATTGCTAAGAAATACCAGATGGGAACAACAACTCAATCATTGTTTACTTGGGATAAATTCGATCTCCTCCATCCAACATTCATATTGATAACCGTGAGGCACTTTTTTAAAAAAAAAAAACAAAACAAAAAACCCCACTGTGATTCCTTTTTTGGATTCAAGTAAGAAAAATCTGGAGACGAGTGACTGGAGACCAACCTGAAACGTGTGGCTATTCTGAATGAAGAATACATACTGCCACCATGTGGTGAGAGAGCACATGGCAATAGTGACTCAGGCTCTGTGGAGAGCGAGGAACATGTTAACAGGCAGTGCCAAGGGATGTTTTTAAAAGGACATTTAAATTTCAACCAGTTCAGGTAGCTGTGTCAGATCTGACAAAATGAGCATTTCCAACAAAGTCATTCATCATTCGTTCAGGAGGGACAAAATACACTGTACTGGCTGACGGGAACACCAGGGGCGTTAACTGCCCGTGTCAGGAACCAAACGCCCATTTTTAAACGGCCTGATCCTCTTCCCCATCCTTCAGAAGGCGTGTAGTTCCTCTGTCGGCCAGCTTGTGACACTGTGACCTTTCTAACTGCACAGTCCACGCCAGAGCGCCCTTCTGAAGTCGAATCTTCCAATTAACGGTGGAAGAAACACAAAGTCAGCCAACTACAACGTGACGGCAAGTTAAACTAAGGAAGCATCCTCACGCTGCAAGATCCAGCAAGAATCTGGAAAATGCCACTGTGTCAATATGAGGACAGGCCAAGAAAAAATACCCAGCAACCTAACCTTAATAAATTAGACAGTTGCAGAAAAAGCATTTTGGGTGCCAATCCAGCAACCATTGTGACTCATCCAGTCAGACAAGCCGGCACGTTAATAACAAAAGTTACACTTCCATCCACTTACATCATTAAAAGGGAAATACTGGGTTAAAGCACATTTAATTCTGGTAGCTGCCACATTAACACCAGCAGTAAGATGTTCACCAGGACTGGAGTAAATGGGGAGGGGGAATATGAGAGAAAGCAAGTAAAGAGAGAGAGCGAGGCAGAGAGAGCGAGGCAGAGAGAGAGAGAGAGAGAGAGAGAGAGACAGAGAGGCAGGCAGAGATACTGGCTTAAAACTTGGTCACAAAAACACAAACGCCAGAATAAAAAAAAAAAAGGCAGAAAGAGGCAGGAGAGAGAGAGAGAGAGAGAGAGAGAGAGAGGCAGAAAGACCACACTTGGGATGGATTAGCCAGGAATTCTGGGAATTCCCTACCCCATCTTGGATAAATGCTTCACCTTTGACCCTTACCTTGGCCACGAACTGGCGGTCCTTCTGGTCCAGGTTGGCGGTGGGGGCCACGTAGTCTTTCCAGATCCTCACCTTGCGTTCCTTGGCGGACCTGCAAGACAAGCAGGCTCGTTCACACGTCCACGCGCGACTCGGAGGATAAACGTTTCGGCTCTCACTCCACAAGCCGTATTTAACTGCTACAGACCCCCAGGTGCCTGCTATTCAACCACATGAGATTCACGCCTTTGCTGAAGTTGTGGAATCACTGTGATAAGCAGCGTTTCATGAAATCATTCAGTATTTAATGTAGGTCCCTTTGCTAACAAAGGCAGGGTAAACAAGAAGTGAGCTGTCCAGATTCGCCGAGAGGGGCGAGGTGGGGGGCACTAACCGCTCTGCCGCTCTCAGCTTGTCAGCGCCTTGCGTGTAGACCGCCATGGACCAGTCCACACAGCGAGCGAAGCCCTCCTTCAGCAGCAGCTCTGTGATGTTACCATTCTGTGGGAAGACGGCAAGCGAGAGTCACGCCATGGATGTCTCGACCCAGACGTCATGACCCAGTACTCCCTCCCAACCCACATGAACCACTATGATGACAGCCTGGCATCCTAGATCACCAAGAGAAATATCTGAAAAGGCTCCCAGCGTCTTTGAGGAAGTCAAGCTTTCCAACCATCACCTTGTAATGGTTTCAACCTCAATGTTCTCACTTCAGAGGGATGGCCGGAGAACATCGGTGCAATATGGGCTCTCAGCTTTCAGCATGAAGGAAGCTCTTATTGGGTTCCTTATCGTTTTCCCTTTTTTCCTCAGTTTTTAAAATGACGCTGTAAATGATGGAACATTTCACAAGAAACCCATGGGGCAACTCTCATGAAAGGCGCTATATAAACTGAAAGTTAGTTAGGATCACCAAGTTCTCCAGGTCTAAAACAGATCTCACAGAACCCACAGAAAGCAAGGTCCTCCATGGAAAGGGGCTGAACTCCTGCCAGAAGTTAAAAGCTGCCACCTTTTGGTCATGAGCACTCAAACCGAACAGCCATGTGATTTCAAAAGATCATATCAAGCTTTAGAAAAACTCCCGAACTGTGAGGCACATAAATGAAAGGGATCTTCCCAGGGGAGGAGAAATTGCTTTACGAACGAAAGAGGCAGCTTCTCAGAAAATGCACCACAGGAACAAAACGACACACCAGAGCACGTGAAGGACCCTCATGCACCTTGTTTTCGGCCAGTTTAGCAGAGGAACAAAGCAACCTGACCACTTAGGACTGCCCAATGGTGGGCAGGCACAGCGAAGAGTGCTGCAGGTTTCCATAGCGACTTAGGGAGTGAGCGCTCTGGCCGGGGACCGTGGGCTCTTACCGGGTGCAGGATGGTGCCGAGGATGACCTGATTGTGGCAGCTCTCCAGGATGATCTGCACGTCCCGCTGCAGGAGCCGAGACTCAGTGAAAAACTTGGCCTCAGCAGCAAAAGACTCCGGAGACTCTGTGCCGTCTGCCTCTCGTTTGAAGGTAGGACACTAGAGATATGGATGAGAGTGGGAAAGACAGAGAGCCAGTAAGGCTTCAGAAAGTTGCCAGAAGTCGGTGCCGATATGGACACGGTATTCTATAGAGCCAAGAATCAACGAGACTTAAGTTTGCAGCTACCCCCACGTTCTTGTGGTGGTTCGCATCACAGGTTTAATGGTTGGGGGCCTTTACCTTAATTCCAGACAGCATCACCGTCACAAGGTAGTAGTCAGGCAGTAGAAGGGCTCTTACAACACTCCCATCACGAACGTGTTCGATGATTGCTGTAGGTGGGTATTTAAAACGGTCACTGCCATGGAAGGTCACTGTGGTTACATCGGGATTGACTCTGTAGCATTTCTGACAGGTTCATGACACCAGGTTCAGTGTGTTACATTTTCATATGTGGCCCAGTTGCAGTTATATTACAAAAAGCACCACACAAATGCAGTGCGTGCTTATTAAAAAGTAGTGTAACAGAACTACAAGCAACCAGGCCACCAAGAGCCGGCCCACGGGCCTACCGTTGACAGGCTTCTGGTGCATGGAGTCCACGAAGTTGCGCGGGTTCTCGATGCTGTACTTGAGCTCACGGATGGTGTGGGACCCTCCTCCTTCAGACCACATGCCCTTCTTCACAGACTTGGCCTGGTCCTCCAGGTCACAGAGCCGGGCTTGGTCTGGGCTGCAGGGGGCGTGACGGTGCATTAACGAGGCGCACACGTATACAGACCACTGCGAAGGTACAGGACACCTTCAGCACTCTGTATACCCATAACCAACTGAAGAAAACCACTACAGATCAAAACTAAGGTTACTAAGTGACTCAACTTCAATTTTGGATATTTTCTTGGGCTATTTTAGCTTAGGTATCTCATTCAAGGGTCCTACAGCAGGATCCACCAGGGAACGGTTCTCCCAAGCTCTCTCGTTCCCTACACTCTGCATTCTTCACTTTGATCCCTTCATTGCGAAGTTGCGCTGAAATTTCATCAGGACAGTCAGCACACACCCAGGAGATTAAACCTCCCCACTGGAGCCAAACCACTGCTGTAGAAGGCAGCACAGCCAGACGCCAGCCACCCGCTCCCATCAAACCTCCGGGGGGAGGGGGGGGGGGGGGGAGGGCTGTGTCGAGGATCATGCAGAGACAAGGCGGTCCTAATTGGAGAGCTTCCCCGGGTGTCAAACCCCAGCTGCTGTCAAGCAGAACCGTTTACTGCTCGTCAGACCGGACTATTCACACTCAGGGACGCCGTAAGCCAGGGAAAGCCAGAAAGAGGAGAGTCTAAAGCTGGTATTAATGCCCCCCCCCCCCAAGCTGACCAGGGGTCCGCAGACTCAGCATCGCCTAGGATCATTACTGCGGCAAAAAGCGCCAAACCCCACTGGCCATGAACACGAGCACCATCACCCCTGACACCCCCTGAAAGACTCAAACACGCCTCCCGCTGGATCCCTTGCTTGAAAGGAGCCAAAAAAACACGAGCTACTCGGTGCGGAAAATGTCTGGCAGAATCGACTGGAATATGGCTGCCAGGTCCACCTACAGAGCTCTGCGGCAATATTCTGGCAGCGTGCCATAAAAACACGGGGCCACAGTCCCGTCTCTAGGGGCGTAAAGAGCTTCAGTCGAGGACCTTGCAAATATGACACAGGCTGCCTAGTGAAACTGGGGCTCATCGCTGGGACACTCCATTCTAGGGCTGCAACTAATGATTTTAGTAGTCAACTAATCGTTCAATTTTTTTTCCGATTAGTTAATTAGTCACGATTATTTCATGCCTGACTATTTTGATGCCTGCGACCTGCACATCCTGTTCTGGGCTCCAGTGCATGTCATACCTCATCGGCTCACATATGTCCCCCTGTGAATGTCCCCCTGATGTGTTTGCATTAAGACGATTCAAATTTATAATAATTAAATAAAACAACAACCAGTGAAACATATGAATTTTGAAATAATCAGATGTTTTTATATTAGTGTGACCATCACAATAAAAAAGAAGCATTAAACAATACAAACTAAAGTGCACATTGGTGACACTGGTGTGTCCTAAAGTCCGAAAGTTTAAATAAAGCTTCAATTCAAATAAAATAAAACAATGTATAAAAGATTCAGTTCATATATTGGTCTTTGACAGTTGACGTCACACTTGCTATAGCCGCAGTGTATTGTGGGTCGAATCGCCATTGTGGGTGCATACAACACAGGAGCGAGTATTTGCGTGCGGCGTTGATAAGACGGGACACTCGTGCTGTGTGAAAGGCTGTCATCCTAAGTCACATGGTAGAAATGGCAGAAAGGTGGACCACAACATGAGATTTTTTCGGTTTCCCACTTGGAGAAGAGGATATGGACAGCAGGTAGAGGAGGAGGCGTCGGGTGGCCTGGGTCGCAGCGGCTCTTGGCATTTTCATAAAGGCAAGTAAGATGTTTTTGTTTAAGTAATATTACTGAATATGCATTTCACATTGGTTAGCCTACGCTAGCAAGCTAGCCTCACTACAGAGGGTAGCAGAAATGGGTTAATCTGTTCGTGTTAATCTAGCGTTACAGAGTGAATGCTTTTAAAAGACAAAAGTAAACAGCAAAACTGTAATGACACGTTTATCAGTGCATGTATGTGTATATTCGCGTGCATGGATTATAAGCGCCAATGCTGGATAAGGCTGTCACTGTGTGCTGTGCCCTGACAAACCAATCCCCAACTACAGTTTAAGTTTAGAAACATTTGCAAGTACGGTTTCTAACGTTTCACATGATGTCTGGAAGGATCTGTATAAACTCATTGTATACCGAGCCTGTATTCTGCTTGCCACTTAACTTTATTGGTCATATTGAAAATAAAATATATGTCACATTATGTCCATGAAATGACATTTTTGTGTTCTTGACTCTCTTTTCCTTTCTTAAACACCTACATTGCTATTATGTTTTGGTAATGAAAATTGCTTATTACTGATTACATAAAACATTATATTTTTGTGGAGAAAAAAACCAATGAATATGAAATATTAAGTTTGTTAACCAAATGTGTTTACATCCGCGATACACTCAAAATGGCGAATGGGGACATGTCAGACAGTGCAGGCACGTGACGCATGGACAATACAAAATCCTCATCGACGATTTTTTTGTAGGCAGCTCGCAACAAAAAAACCCTTAATGAACACACCTGTCAAAGTCGTCACAGGATAAACCACACAAGGTGACCCCTAGGGGGAGTGCTAGACACTGACATGAAGGTCTGACTAAGCAAAGGACTGCCCAAGGAGTACAGTGTCCAGATATCTGCGCACTTCGTAAAACGCTACCACAGAAAGGCAGCAGTTGTCAAAGGGCTGTTTCACAGTTGCACTCTGTTGCCACCTTCTGTCACATTTCAGAACTGCATCAAGTTTGAGTTCTGATCCTGTTCTGCTCTAGGCAGAGGCATCCGCTTCGTACTGCCACAGGTACTGTAATAACCTACGTGAACACTGCCGCCTAACAAAGCATGCCTTGATAATGTGCAGATGATGTATCAGTTCCTTTCAGTTAAGATATTCCTTTACTTCAGCTCAGTTAGGCTGCAGAGATAAGCAGCTATATAAATTTCCTGTCAAGAGACAAAGGGGAACCACTCAATGGAAGGACAGTTGAGTCAGCTACATGAACCACCGCTCAACCATAAACCTAGCAGCCATGCCAGGATTTTAAGCTGGAGCCGGAGGAACATGTAGCATTGACTGGATGACTCGCACCAGAGCCAGCACCCCCAACAGATCCACCTCAGTCACACCTAGGGACCCGGGTGTCACTGATGTAGAAAAAAAAAAAAAAGAAAAATACCAGAAGACCCCTGAAGGGGGACCGTAAACATGGTGCTTCTACTGAACTTCAGCTGAACCACCAGCTGTTCTGAGCAAAACCAAGACATTCCTGAGGTAAGCTAAGCAAGCCAAAAAAAGCAGACTTACTTGGTGCCACGGATCCCCTCCCTGCGGACGGTGGCGAGTCCTTCAGCAACCAAAGACTCTGCAATGTTCTCTCCAGACGTATCTGAAACGAGAGTGGAAGCTTGAGGTGAAATTCCCACAAACTGATCCGGCAAGAAAGGCAGACATCACGCTGACTCAAAACCTTTCACTGTGGGTTTCCAGCAAGACCAATCCTACCCATAAATTCCCAGTTCCACAGAAGAACCTAAAAGCCACTTCAAAAGGTCCATATGCAGCATCAGATTCTTCAGGAACAAGACCATCCATAACACAACACCCACCACAAACCCAACCCGGTCTCACATTTCCCAGAAAGACATTGGGACAAAAAATCAAGACCATCCTTTGTGGTTGTACATACCTTTCCCCAGGTACACCATCCCATACTCTCTTCCCTGGTTGGTCTTGATCTCCACGTTGAAGCACACTTCCTTACCAATCATCTTCTTGCGGAGGAACTCACGAGCCTGGAAGGCCCAGGGCTAAAACACAGGCACCGTTCAGGTCAGCTGTGTCCAAACTCAGTGGCAGAACGTTTGATCAAGACACATTCAGGGCAGACTCCTGGCTCCTTGCAAGCATGCGGTGTTTGTGGCATAAGAACGAACAAAGCAGTTAGAGGAACAAAATGGCCCTGCAATGGACTGGCATCCAATCCAGTCTTCCTCAAGCTTTAAAAGGTAACTATTACAAGAGGAAGTTAACAGACAAGATAAAATTTGAATTCTTTTAGTAGGAAGTCCTTGTTGAATTAATTTAGTTCATTAAGTTTGGTTGTTCAATCACCAAAAGGAACCATCCATCCACACCAAGGCGAAAGGCCTCCGCACCTCGTCGGGAACGTCCTTGGTGTCGGGCTGGCCCTGGACAGCGCGCCGTGCCAAGGCACCGGCCCGGATGTTGCTGAGGTTGATCTGTCTCTCCGGCGGAGGCCCCCCCCGAGGCTGACCTCGAACGATGATGGCACATCCTGAAAGTACCTGAGAGACAACACACACACACCAAGCTAAACCACTGGGGGGGGGAGGGGGGAAGCCAAAACAGAGGGAGCTGGTGATTCCACAGGCAGCTCTGCCAGGCTAGAGCTCAGCCTGCTAATATGGAGTTTGGAGGTTCCATCCACATCTGTTTGAGTTTCCTCGTCATCTACAGAGGACCTTAGGTTCGGATGAACTGGTATTCCATATACCATCTGTGTCTCCCAGGAGAAAGTCACCACAAAACATACTGAACAAGGAGTTTGTGGAAATTAATGCATAGAAAAAGATGCTTTAATCCTGCTGTTAAGCAACACTGCCGACAATAAAGACGGTATTTAAACTAATGCATAACACACCATACAGTGAAATATATAAACAAATCCCACAAATCAGATACAGCAGAAGCCAAACTGCACTTGGAAATCATACAGGCTTCTCCACACATCCACGTGCCGCTAACAGACAGAATTGATAAACGTAAATATTAAGCTAATGATTAACGAAAGCATTATTTGCTTTATTCACGAGTTTACAATTTGCATACTATGACCTTAACATTGACCGATAAGACAAAATGATACAGGCCTAAATGTGTTTCAAAATCTAATATGAAAAGACCTATATCAATAAACTGAAGTGGTAATTTTTACGTTGCCCTCCTTGACAGAAAAAAATCCAAACCTACTAAAATTCACACCTAAGAGAACTTGTAAAAAGCGGGTTTAATTATTTACAACTTTTAACTGCAACACAAAAGAACACCCTTGTGCAAGAATTTAACACAAAAAGACTACAAAAACGCAAATAAGTAAATTTTAAATAAAGTTGGACTGGAAGAAACTTATAATGAATAAACATTCAAGTGGTACTCAACGGCTTGCAGTATCAAAACTGTAAAGCAAACGTTGGTAACGCTTTTATGAAAGAGTCACATCTGTTCATTTAGAACGAGTTACTATGTTACAAAATTCAGCAGTGTTTTTAAAAACAAACTACCCAATAAAAGCGAATTGCATAGTAACTTTAAAAAGTAACACCCGACCGCGAAAGTTCATGAGAGATAGTTTGTATAGATGGCGATGGAGGGGCTTTCCACTCGGACTCCCAGACTTTAGACCTACGTGTCAGTTTCTCATCCCGAATAAAGTGAACAGTGTCAGCCCCTCATTTTACCACACACCCGCAGGACCCGCATCGCGGCGCCAGCTGCCCGTAACAGACCTTATCCCACAACCGTGATCACTTATTTTAACGACTCACTGTGAATGACTGGAGCGTATTATACGTTGAAAAAATATATAGACTACAAATACATGTTTTGAGTAGGTGGTTGCATTTTTTTGCAAATGATACGTGTGCTATATTTGTCTTAAAAATAATACACTTCATCGCTTTCCTCTTCATGTTGCTTAATTAAACTTAAGAACACTTCCATCACGTAAATTACGATACTCTGACCAGAGTCCTCACAGATTTATGAAATTCGATATCATCATCACCACCATCATCATCATCGGATGTGGTCATATGATAATTTAAAGTGTTTATTTCGAAGCAATTACTAATACTGCGCCATCTAAACACACTACCTGAATTCAAAAAGCTACGCGGCAAGGTAACTTGGACAAACACACACGCGCGCATGTCCCTGCACAGAAATACCAAAGTGAAATCAAACAAATGTATTAGTTCCACATCGACGTCAAATAAATCACCCACATTTAAACATCTTTAAGAGACACGAAAGCTGTGAATGAGTCGAGAAACTGCCCTCCATCAGATGCTTAGAACTTACTTATCCAGATCCTTGCTTTTAAGCCCCTCAGACCCCCACAGTTGTGGTTTAGGCTTACCATTTTCACTATTCCTCTTTGCAATGGCGCAGAAGAGCCAGGATTTGCTTGTGCTTGTGCAGACGCCGAAGAGGCCATGGTCTCAGTGATTTAAAACGTAAGGGATCCGGAGAGATCAGGAAGAAAAGAGTCGGCAGTCAGAGCGACTGTGCTACTGGAGAGTCCAAGAAAGGGAAAAAGGGACTGAGCGCCGCTTAACACACTCACTAGACCGGAAGCGCACGATGCCATGCAGCCCCAGCATGCACAGGACATACACGTCAAATTGCGACTTATTCCGGGCCAAGGCCGGGAGGGTCTGCAGTGCAACTGTATGCAATTCTTTGAAAACGTAAGATATGTAAAAAAAAATATATATCTTCCGGGGTAACAAGGGGCGCGACACGTCAGCACGATTTTAATCCTTAAAGCGGACATGCGAGTCGGAGGTTGTTGATACAGTTGCATGTCGGGGGTTTTGGTAAACGAGTGAAGCGATAACGCGTGTTTTAATAATGGGGACTTCTGCGATTTCTCTATCGATTCACCATGATTCAGTTTTGGAAACATCGTCGATCTCGGCAACCGAAGCTCTAAATGTCTTGATCTTGATCACTAATTTGGTAATTGCATTTAGTAATGGATTTATTTTTCGCTTAGTATTTCGATTGTCCTATGTGTTGTCATATTTCTTAAAGTTAATATTCCAAGTTTTTTTATAATTCATGAGAATATGCCTTTTTAAAGTTTTGTGTCCATATTACTACTACTGTGTCCATTTATAATACAATTACATTACAGTGAACCCTTGTCATTATAAATATACTTATATTTTTATATATAAAAAATATACTTATATTTTGTTCGAGCATTACTAAATTTGATATGACATTTAGTGTCCGCCAGATGGTGCTCACCCGCCGAGATAAATCGGTGTGGCTAGAAATATGAATGCATGAGTGTAGGTACAGCCTTATAGGGCAACACAGAGTTGTTGCTTCGAATCCTGACCCCGCATCTACGTCCGTGGAGTTTGTGTCCTCCCCGCGCTGAGTTTTCCTTGCATGTTAAAAACGTGGCTTTATTGAATTCGTCCCTTTGGTCTGTGCATACACTGTAATGGACAAACATCCCATCCATGGTGCGCCCCCCTGCGGTCCTTTACTTTCTGGGATAGGATCCAGACCCATGGTGACCCTGTAGTGGATAAGCAGAAAAATGTATCTATTTATTAATTACTTCATTATACATGCAATCTATCTTGGGGCACTGTAAAGGGGGGAAGCTAGGACATATTGCAGGGGCCCCTGAGTGACTGGGGCCCCAAAAAATTGGAACACAGTTGGATTAGCCTGGGTTGTGTGCCCATTATGATATGCTTTCATGGGGCCCCAAATCTCCAGTGGTGCCCCTGCCTGTCCATTCATTCTCCACAATCATTTATGTAGAAACACACACACACACACACGGGTCACTTAGCAACACTAGTTCATCCAACTGTGTGCCTTTGGGCTGAGTGGAAACTGGATGGCAATTAAACCCACAAGGTTAGAGTGTAACACTACAGTTAAAAAGTGAGTTGGGCTTTAGATGTGTGGTTGTACTAATAAAATGGCAATTACATATGTTATATGTTGCATTATTAAAATAAATATATAGCTATATAGGAGTCAGAGTGTCCGAATCAGTGGAGAGCTGCAGCTCATGTAAGTCTGCAAGGTCAGTCATGGATAAAGGGTTTAGTACACAGTTCGAAAAACTCAAAGACAAAAAATATTCAAACAACTTTATATAATTACATGTAATAAAATATATCGTCAGTTAAAGTTTACTTACATTAAAATGCTGCCATTTGTTCTTAAAATCCTGCTGAGTCTGCTGACTGTAAGGTATACAGATCGTTGCTATAATACACATTTTGAATGAAAACTCAGATTTCAACATTACGAAGTGCTTTAACGCAGTTATAAAATCACAATTCTTTGTTTAAAATGGTGGACCATTTGCAAATGTTATTTAAAATGACCGTATAATATTAAATTATATAACATCTTATTACATAGTTTATACTAGAGTATGGTGGTATTTTCGTCGGCTTTGATTTATTCGTCTTCAAGAACGCTGGGAAACGTTTTGCTGCCTTACAGCCCACTAACCTTGCTCGACGTTCCCAGACTCTAAGCGGAGATATCCAGGCAATTTCCGTTATCTACAGTTAAGAAACTTTATTTTTAATAGCAGTATCTCACAGCAGGGTCTTTAATTGAGACAGTCTTTGAAATGATCGAATATTGTGATGCTACGTTTGTCCTTATGTATATGCGAGATTTATCATTTTAGTTTACATTGTTTAAAAAAACACTTGTGCGCATATGTATTTTACTATTCGAACTGCATCGGGGTTTTTTTTTGTAAAAACCTAGCAATATTCACTACAATTAGTAAATTTATATATTACACTACAGATTATCATATTGTAGAACACTTCATATAATAAGTTATCGTTATTTCAAATGTATGACACAATGCTTTATGGCCAACAACGTACGCTTTAATCTAAGACATATACAATGTGGGCCAAGGGTACCAAATTAAAATAACAACTATATCAACTTTTAAATTAGTACACTTATACAGAGTAATACCGTACTGTGGAAGTTAAAACTTGCTTAAGAAGAAGCCCGATAATGGTGCTTTTACCTTACTGTGTCAGTTTATCGTTGTTACTTGCAAATAACTTTGCACTAAATATGTGACAGTGTGCGCTATGGGTAACTTTTGGTAACCTCGTGTTTGCGCAGGAGATCTGGCTGCCATTTACGCTCCTTTCTCCACAATTAAGAACTATAGTAAACGTGTACATAACAATGTATACCATGAATATGTCGGTGTGTGGTTTTGTTAATATATGGGTCATAATCCCCTTTTCTCCGAGGAAAAAAAGGAAGTAAGTGTAGTAATTAGCACAAAATTTGAAAATTACGCACCCAATGTTTGATCGGTACTATGCCAACCGAAGGATTATTTTATTAACATTTGCTCAAGTACATGAGAATTGAAGTGATGTAAGTACTTTGACTGAAGCGCACTATGGGATTTGATAACTGAAAATAAATAATTTATCTATTTTTATCTGTTGGTAGGGAGATATTGGTGTTCCGCCTTACTGTGCTCAATATGCCGCGGTTCCAGTACTGAAAATATTATCATAAACTAACCCGTGGTTAATATATAATTTGGAACATATGGCTTTTTAAAATAAACCCTTTATTTTTGTAGTGGCATGACCTATGTGGATTTTACTAATGATGCCCAATTAGTCATTAAACAGATTCGACCACGAGGCTTGTATAGATTTTCATTCGCTAATATTTGCTCGTCAAATATTTTCTTTGAAACGTTTACAACATATTTTATCTGCATGTCAGACAGGAGACATCTGTGAGTGTTTTTCGAATCTCCATTTCATAAATATGCTGCCAATTGGTCGCATACATTTCATTCTCTGCCTCTATTTGTTCACGGTTGAAAGAAAATGTAATAAACGAGTGTATTTGACGGATTTATGATTTATCAAATGTACTTTACCATATGGCAGACGTTTTAATGTTTGTTTTAAAATACAATCGAGCTGGATTTTAACGTGAATGTAGAAGATGCCCGAGTCACGTGACTGGCGGCTTGCCCTTTAAAGAGTAAAGCTCAAGGCGCCGCGTGCACGTCACATTTTTCAGAAAAATGTCCATTTCTGAAGCGCGTTCCCAGCCGCACATCTATGCAATAACTTAAGAGGCAACTTTCACAGCCTCAAATTTTTCCTACCCGCTAAATGAGAAATGCTGTCCATCACAATTCGGTGCTGAAAATACACTTTCCATGCGCTGGATAATAGGCTACGTTACCCTCCTCGTGGTATCGCCTACATTTGCTGCACACCTACTGAAATACAGCGAACTGGCACTTTAACAAGAACAAGACCACGAAACTGATGTTAAACAGCGAAGCTTAAAAACGAATGGTTTCACTTTGCTGTTTTTAGACTTTGAAATGTTCTTGCAAATACACCCATTCTTACACTTAATACAAACTACTTTGACAGAGGTTACCTCCTTAGTGAGACCACATTTGATTCTCGCGGTGAACCATAAAACGTGCAATGCTGACACAGCACATATAAAAAGAAAAGAAACATTCATGGTCATCATAACACACATACGTGTATATATGACTATTTGGTTGATCTATTGTGTAAATTGCATACGTAGATTTGGGCATACAGTGCACTAGTCAACAGCACAGTTGGGGGAAAAAAATAACACAATATTTGGTTGTCTTCACACTGAAGCGGTCGTGAGATCATGCACTCACGCATGCATGCTGATTTGCATGCAATATAAGGCTATAAATTACTGGGGTCAGACTCACGTCACTCATGCAGGACTGCTGGCCTATACGCGAGTCTTCTGCCTGCAGGATCCCCACTGTATCAGGGCAGTGAGTCGGTACACCTTTGGATTTGAAAAACACTGTTCCGGACTTGGCAATATTCAGCAGAATTATTTACGTTTTCCAGGTAAGGTGACGGTTCAGCATTACTTGGAACTTGTGTGCACTGCGCCAAAATGTACCGTTGAAATGTTACACCTGCTACATTTAACACAACCTGTACGCATATCTCCCGTTTTTGTTTACCACAGGAAAGTTACCAGTAGCGGATGATGGAACAGCATAATAAGGACGTCATAGAACAAGGTTTATTATTACGACATTATCTTTTTAAAACACTGTATGAAATATGCGTAACTGTTTGGTCCTTTCGGATGTCGTTTTATATATTTGCGTTTAAAATTGATTATTATAATTTCTAATGAGGTATTTAATGAGGCAGTTAAACATTTCAAAATGCAAAGTAGCTTAACAACTTATTGAAATGTAGCCATCCAACAAAGTAGTCATTTCCTGATTTGTCTTGATTTTTTTAATGAAATAATAAAGTTATGGAAAGGTAATAGTTGTTTTCTCTTACAATAATTTCAAATTTGTGTTGAGCCTTCCTGCTTCTTTTTATAGGAGAAAGTTGCATAAACCAACTCGGGGGGGTATTCCTGAACGGCAGGCCCCTCCCTGCATATAAAAGGAGGAAAATAGTGGAACTGGCAACGGAGGGCGTAAGACCTTGTCAAATATCGCGGATTTTAAAGGTACCAATGTGCGGCACATTTTCGCGGAAAACGCTAATGCTAAACAAATTAAAACATACTTATGCTTCTGTCGTATTTTTTCTTACTATTCAGGTGTCCAACGGCTGTGTCAGTAAAATCCTCGGCAGATATTATCAAACCGGACTTTTGTGTCCCAAATCGATCGGGGGTAGCAAACCTCGCCTGCTCACGCCAGAAGTGATTTCCAACATCGGTCGCTACAAGTGTGAGAACCCATCGGTTTTTGCCTGGGAAATCCGGGCGAAACTCCTGTCTGAAGGGGTGTGCGAGCCTAACAGGGTCCCCAGTGTAAGTGAATTAACCGAAAATCGCGCTATTTTTATGTGTTGCCAAAACTATAGAAAAGAAGGAAATACAATTTTATAATCATATGCATTGCAATCGTAGAAAGGATTGAAAATCTAGTACACACTATAATAAAAAGGTCACGCATTGTTCGCGCGCTGTTTGTAGGTGTCGTCTGTAAACCGAGTTTTGAGAAACATGCACCTGGATCTCATACCCTTTGGGACGGACAGCCCTGGGCCTCAGGGTAAATGGTTGTTCTTTAAATCTCAAATATTCTCCTGAAATGCAGTAAACTTAATCTTCGTTCCTGCCATCTTTTTCCTCATATCCAATCGTTATAGAAAACGTGTCTGGTAGAGATGTGGGCACGATGACAGAGTGCAGGAATTTCCCAGATGATGGTTCTGGAGCAGAAGATAGCAGGACAGGAAAGAAACAGCACAGGATCCGTACTGTATTCACTGAAGAACAATGTGCAGTATTAGAACAAGGTACCCACAGCTCAATGTCTGATTAAGGACTGCTTTGCATAGTAGGTAATTTTTAGTAAAATATGGGCAGGATTAAAAAGCATTAAAAATCGTATAATTGGGGTAAAATGATTTATGTCTGAGGAATCTAACATATAAAGTATGCCTTTTTGAGTTTGTATTGCTTTGTGCTGTGTACTGATGCAATGGGTAAATCCAGCAGTATTTTTAAACTATGGGTTGAAATGATCCGCTTGAAGTGTAATTGTGTATGTGGGCCCATCCCTATAATCCACCTTGTGCTTTTTTTTTTATGTTGCAGAGTTTCGACAGGGACATTATCCAGACTCGCTCACTAGGGAGAAACTAGCAGCAGAGATGAACCTTTCAGAAGGAACAATAAAGGTAATGAGGGTGGGAATGAGTGGTAGGCAGGCCTTGCAGAGACTCCAGTTTATGGGCGATTTTTCAGGAACCAGAACGTTTTTCCAAAACCAATAACTCAGTAAGGGAGGTGTGGCCTGACACGCTTGGCAACACTGTGTTCTCCAACACGACCCTCATCAGGAAGAACAGTGTGGAGAAGATGAAATATATTGCATCCATCCTTCAGACAGTGAATGTCCATCCATTCATCCATCCATTATCTGCCGCTTGTCCGGGGTTCGGGTCGCGGGGGTAGCAGCTTCAGGAGAGATACCCAGACCTCCCTCTCCCCAGCTACCTCTACCAGCTCCTCAGGGAAGACACCGAGGCGTTCCCAGGCCAGCCGAGAGATATAATCCCTCCAGCATGTCCTAGGTCTGCCCCGGGGCCTCCTCCCTGTAGGACATGCACAGAAAACCTCTCCGGGTAGCCGCCCAGAAGGCATCCGCACCAGATGTCCAAACCACCTCAACTGGCTCCTTTCAATGTGAAGAAGCAGCGGTTCTACTCTGAGGCCCTCCCGGATATCCGAACTTCTCACCCTATATTCGCGCCTGTATTCGCGATCTCATTCTTTCGGTCATTACACATAGCTCATGACCATAGGTGAGGGTAGGGACGAAGATGGACCAATAGATCGAGAGCTTTGCTTTTCGGCTCAGTTCTTTCTGAGCCATGTCGAACCGGTTAAGCGCCTGCAAAACTGTAGACGCCGCTCTGATTCGTCTGTCCAGCTCTCAATCTCGCCTACCCTCACTCGTGAACAAGACCCCGAGATACTTAAACTCCTCCACTTGAGGCAGTACGTCTTCCCTGACCTGAAGAGGGCAATCCACCCGTTTCCGGCTGAGAACCATTGTCTCGGACTTGGAGGTGCTAATCCTCATCCCTGCCGCTTCGCACTCGGCTGCGAACCGCCCCAGAGCACGCTGGAGGTCCCCAGCAGATGAAGCCAACAGGACGACATCGTCCGCAAAAAGCAGCGAGGCAATCCTGAGGCCACCAAACTGGACACCCTCAACACCCTGGCTGCACCTAGAAATCCTGTCCATAAATATTATAAACAGGACCGATGAAAAAGGGCAGCCCTGGCGGAGCCCAACCCGCACTGGGAACACGACCGACTTATTACCGGCAACGTGGACCAAGCTTATGCTCCGTTCATACAGGGACCGAATCGCCCACAACAGTGGACCCTATACTCCTGAAGCACCCCCCACAGAGCACCTCGGGGAACCCGGTCGTAAGCCTTTTCCAAATCCACAAAACACATGTAGCCTGGATAGGCAAACTCCCAGGCCCCCTCCAGTACCCTCGCAAGGGTGTAAAGCTGGTCCAGTGTTCCACGGCCAGGACGAAAACCGCATTGTTCCTCCTGAATCCGAGATTCGACTATCGATCTCACCCTCCTCTCCAGTACCCTGGAATAGACCTTCCCAGGAAGGCTGAGAAGTGTGATCCCCCTGTAGTTGGAACCCTCTGGTCCCCCTTCTTAAATAAGGGGACCACCACCCCGGTCTGCCAATCCAGCGGCACTGTCCCTGACCTCCACGCGCTGTTGAGAAGGCGTGTCAGCCACGACAGCCCCACAACATCCAGAGCCTTGAGGAACTCCGGGCGGATCTCGTCCACCCCCGGGGCCCGGCCACCACATAGCTCTTTAACCACCCTGCCCACCTCAGCCCCAGTGATGGACAAGCACCTGCGGTCTCTGTGCCCTCAGGTGTCTCAAAGGCAGTGTGCGTAGATGTATCTGAGGCAGGGTTGAGGAAGTCCTCAAAGTATTCCTTCCATCTCCGGGTGATGTCCCCAGGTGAGGTCAACAGCACCCCCTCACCACTATAAATAGTAGGAACCGGGAGCTGCTTCCCCCTCCTGATATTCCGGATGGTTTGCAGAACCTTTTTGAGGCCGAGGGACCGCCAGGGCCTCCCTTGGCCGCCACCCGATCCACAAAGCACTGAACCCCTGACATTCCCCTTGCGGGTGGTGGGCCCACCTGAGGACAGTCCCGTGTGCCTCTTTCGGGCTATGACCGGCTGGGCCCCATGGGCCAAGGCCCGGCCACCAGGTGCTCGCCAACGGGCCCCTCCCCCAGACCTGGCTCCAGGGTGGGGGCCCCGGTGACTCTAGTCCGGGCGAAGGAAACGGGACTTCGTTTGAATACCTTAACAGTGAATGTAATTACAAATATTTGATAAAATATTAAATGTAAAGGTAATGAATTTGGGGGCGGCACAGTGGTTAGCACTATTTCCTTGCATCTCTGGAACCTGGGTTCGAGTCTTTGTGTGTGGACTTTGCATGTTCTCCCTGTGTTAGCAAGGGGGTTTCACCAAATGGCCAGAAACACCCTAAGGTTCATTGGAGTTACCAAATTGCCCATATATAGGTGTGTGCGTGTGCGTGTGATGGCTTGCTGCCTGCATTGCACACATAGGCTCCGGACCCCTCAGGAGCCTGAACAGGACGAGCGGTTACAGAAAATGGATGGATGGTAATGAAACTGGAATAATTTTACTGACCTCTGAGAATATTTTAAAAATCAGGCATTGTATTGCGTACGGTGCAATTATCCTTCAAATAACTGTAACAACTAAAACACATTGTATATTTTGTTTTCAAAAATGCAAATGTGTATCTCTTCACCTGAAGGTCTGGTTTTCAAACAGAAGAGCAAAGTGGCGCCGGGAGGAAAAACGAAATCGCGCCCCCTACTGTTTGGGAGGTATGCAGTTCATGACAGCCTTCACATTTTAATTCATACTATAACACCCCAGCTGTCTTTGAACCAGAGAAGTTAAGACTATTAAGCAGAAATTTCACATTCTGCTTTGAAAATAAATGTATGCCATTCACAATAGACCTTTTAGGGAGAAACACCATGTGACCAAAGTGACCAATACAGCACTTGGAAGCTGGTGCCCTGGGCAGAGCCTATCAGGCTGTACTGAACACGTGCAGAATGCGTGCATGTAGGTCACTTGGAAGCAATCAGGGTCAGCAGGACACTCAATAGCGCCTCCCTTCTGCCACAGATGCCCTGGGTAGAGAGAAGTCAAGTACCTACAAGCTGGGCTTTGCAGAAGGTGGTGCAGCTCCCCATATTCCCCAGGTAGGTTAAAGCTGCTACAGTATAAAATACCAATTTGTAATGAACTCTTTAATTACACAGTGAGCTCAATATAGAGTTAAAAATCATGCAATAATTCTAAAGGTTTTTAAAACCTTTTAGCATTTTAAATTTCAGTCTGTCATGCCAAAAATCCTTTTTCTTTTTTCAGTTGCATGTTATTATTTATTATTATTATTATTATTATTATTATTATTATTATTATTATTACTATAACTATATGTCATGCTTTTGCAGTTATACGTACTGAAACCGCTTTGCGCCACTTTGACATGTATTAATGGTATTATGCAGAACTGGCATGAATCCATTGTGTTTCCTTCAAAGGGACATTTCTTTAAACACTGCAGGAAACAGTTTTTTCCCCACGTTGTGTTTTCTGTGTCCAGAGTAACTGGAAGCAGGTGGCATCGGTGCACCAGGAAGCCCTCTCTGCATTCTCCTACAGCCTGACCCCCAGGGAGCCACACTGGGCCTCAAACCCAGCCATCTCTCACGCCCCCTACCAGCCAGGTGAGGTATCACACCCACTCAGCAATGGGCTCAGAGAATGGGTCACCTCTCCTTCAGGACTCCTATAGTGCAGTATGGCTACCAGAGGCACTAATTCAGCATGTTGCGATAGGATTTCTCACCAATGAACATTCCTTGAGGCTCTGTCTGCAATGAGGGAGAAGCGGTTATAAATTCAATTCAATAGAATATCCCAAAATTGGATTGATGTACATAATGGGCATTTGTCCAACTGCTGCACAGTAATTTCCATTTTATTTGAGAGTTCGAACCTATAATTTTATGAGATTTATCCCCATCCTGCATAGAGTGATGACTGTCTTGCAAATATTACCTCAGCATTAAATGTTTTGCGAAGACAGCCTCTCCCCAGGTTACGATGAGGTTACATCCTGCAATAAACCTGTAGGAAGGCAAAAATGTACTTTAATACAGTACACCTAACCTAACAAACATCATAGCCTAGCCTACCTTACACATGCGTAGACCACTTATATTAGCCTGCAGTTGAGCAAAATCATTAACGCAAAGCCTATATTATAATAAAGTGTTGAATATCAAATGTAATTTATTGAATAATGTACTGAAAAATGAAACATTTACCCATCGTAAAGTCGATACATCATAGCACAGACCATCGTACCCCAGGGAGCATCTGTACAGTAGACAGGCATGGTTCCTGACAATCAGGAAAATCCCCGATTTATTCCCGGCTGTGGTGATGGATGCTAGCAGTAATGATTGTGGGGGTGCAGCTGCGGGGGTCCGATGGTGTGGAGGCTTACAGAAAGTGCATTCTGGGAAGGTTTACAGTACCACTCTTTTACAGTCTCTCTAAGCACCAGAAGAGCAGGCGCTTCTGGCTACGGATCCGGCCCCCTGGCCCCTCAGTGGAGCTCGGTGCCGTACCCTGCAGACGAAAGGACCCCTCTGCCCGTCATCCTGGGACACTATGACTCATTTCTCCTGCCTCACTGATGAAGACCATGTCTTGAAGACAAGCACTCCTCAGGCAAACCTATCACTCAGTCAGCATCTGGGGTTGCTTTAGCTTATATATAAACCTGGACATTAGTTATCTGAAGATAACGAGTGATAAATAGCAATAAATAGGAAGAGACTGAGATCATATTTAAACATCTCACGTTAAACAAATCCAGCTTACAGTTCTTGAGGACAGAGTAAGTTGTTTAAAAGAATGAAAGCTGATCAGATATACTCCCACTGGCATTGGATGCGAGGTGCTACCGTGCGTCTTTGGGATAGACTGCAGGCTCATGACAACCATACTGGTTATGTTGTTAGGAAATGTATGGATGGAACTGGAAATATGCTCATAGCACATCAAGACATTCCACATTATTTTTCATAAGTTTTGCTAATTCTGAAACAAAGAACTGCTGATATTATCTATTTTAAGATATATCGTTTCATGAAACCCGTTTTATCAAACTACAATAAAGTACGAAGACAATGAAAAATTGAAACAAATTCGTGGTGTTACCAAAAGAGGGCAGCAAAATCCCAGTCATGCTTTAGTTCATCCACCGGGGAGGATTAAATACACTCCATACACTTATGTTTTATTTCAAGTTTTATGAGGAACAATTTTTATTGGCAATTGCCTTTGATGAAAGACATAGTTTGACCGTAGATAAAGGGGTATGCATCTCCATTAGCGGTTTGGTATGCCCCGCCAGACAGTAACCCGGGCCCCCATCCTCAGTCGTTGCCCCCTGTCTGTTCAGCATTACATTGCTAGCGTAGCATATACATAACAAGTGGTGAAGGATCGAGTACGTTTAAATTGAAAACTGCGGAGGACCAAAACGAGGACATTCTCTCTGAATAAATAATACTACTAATACGGAAGTAAATAAAGAAAAAAATACTAAATGTAATTTGCTGAGCTGGGTGGGAAAAATGAATAGGCCTAACCGCATTAACCCTTGAGGTGCGTGTTCTTCTGTTCGAAAGGTGTGTTCGTTTAAGATCTCCGTCATTTACCTAAATTCGCAATGCTCCCCTCTATCCGGTACTCCTTAGTGAAATCAGCCGGTTTCATCGTTGCATTACTAAATACCAACATATGTGGGGTCCCTTACATGCACCACTATGGACTTTCGCTGAACCTTTTTCCTCTCTCGTGCAGTCAAAACACACTTAGGGCAAATTAATTTCTACGTTGCGATCCAACAGGGAGTAGGTCACAGAAAACAAAGGCGTCCAGAGAAAGCAGTGATACGAACGAGAAAAGCCCGGCAATTTAGCAGCGGGGATCCAATAGCCGAATGAAAACGAGAACCAGCAAACGCACCGAGCTCAGCCTAATGGGGAGAGCGGGACCCCATCGGCCCTGCTACAAAAAAAAAACCCATAAACCTTAAACAAACAAAGTGTCGACTCACTAAATCAAGCCTGTAGTCAGGAAGGGGGTTAGGGGCCGGGCTGTGCCCCATCATCATGCTACAGGCGAGACTGCCGCGAAAACCACGACCTGATCCCGCTTACTGACTCCTAAAGACCGGCTTTTTACACGCCGCCAAGAAAGACAATCACCAAGAAGCTTGCGGGGGTCACTGTGTCACCTGGACTAATTACTAGGCTAACTGATAAAGATAATGCATTGTTAGATAGATAAACAAGAAAATATGTGTAAAGCAATGAAAAACGTTGTTTTCTTTCTCGTTGTTGTCTTTTTTGCCCATAGACTGTAGGGTGAGTTTTAGAGAAAAATACAACATATAAGCGTATGCACTTTCGTAAATGAACAATTTTAGGAATAAAAGGTGAGTAAACTTAAGGTGAGTAATAAACCAAAACGCATATGAGTGAGTATTTCGTTGGCAGCGCGCGTTTCCGCCTTGACTGCGCGATCCCGGTCTAGCCAACTTGCGCGCTCATGCGAGCAGGGGTCCGCGCTGTTGAATTAAAACTGTCGCAGGGGAGCGCGGAGCTGGTAGAGCTGAATCACAGCCTGACAAATCCCTCCCTTGTCCCGGCACACTGAAGAATGGACGAAAGCAAACAAATGTAGGTCAGAAAACTTATTTTTTACATCAAATGTCCCATCCTTGCACAGCAAGGTAATTACGAGACAATTTATTTTTTAGAATGGGAGAAAAAATCTGCTTCAATGGTATTGTTTTGGCACATTAAAGTATATGGAGATAACACGGACTGATTTAAAAACATATACCTTTTTTATGGTTTCTGCGAGGTTGTGGTATGACGCCAGTATCTACTTTGAATACCATACTTCGTAGTATATACTATATACCCTTCCAAAATAGTTTATACAACTATAATAAAAATATTTATGTGTGAATGTATATTATGTGCTTTGTCGTGAAATTAATGAAAGAATTGACGCTTTCATGTCATCTCACCGTCACCATCAAAATTTCGATAGCAGTTGTTCCGCTTTGACTAACCTTGAAAAAGTCAAAAAGTGACAGCTAATAGTTTTTTTGCTTACGAGTCTTTCCAAGATGACAATAAATGATTCAATAAGATTCCTTTATTTGTCACGTATACACTGTTATATATATGCAACATTAATGACCATTTATGTTATTCAGTTTGTTCCTATAAAGAACACAACTCGCTGAAGTACAAAACAGTTGTCAGTTTGTAACCAACTGAACACTGTATTAACTGAAACACACTTAGTTTGGGGTGAAATATATTTTAGTGGATGAAGAATGGCATGTCAGCTGGATGGATGAATCTTAAAGCATCGGCATTAAGGATCGCCGATCGCCTTCAGGACAAAGGCATACGTAATAACAGCCACAGGGGTCGTTTCCCATTTAAGCTGCAGTCCCATTATAAGTAGAGTCCATTTACTGGAGTCGAAATACTTGAACCCCAACCAGCATTCCCCTCGTGCTTTTAGCGACTGCCACATCTGCACGGCAAGATAAACAAGCAAATATATACCGTGAGGCCCCGACATTATGTTGACAAGTATCAAATCGTCCAAGGAGTGACGCACGGATGCAAGATTACATCATCCTTAAAGTTTATAATTATTTAAAACACTTATATTGTTTTTCGTAACATTTCACTGCAAGCTTTTTAGGTTTCACCTAAGGCAATTTTTAAGGGGGGGGGGGTGGTTGTGTCCTCTAAGCCTTCAAGCGAAGCAGAACATGAAGGACAAGGCAGCAGCACGTTTGGCGGACTACGGCGAAGTAAAAACCAAGGTCAAATCTCAAATGAACATGTAAAACCCGATTTTCTCATCATCGTTTAATACTGGCCAATCAATGAGAATACCATCTGGTCACAAGCAGCTCGTTTTATATATATAAATCTGCTCTGGCGTCCAGCAATCCTGTTTGCCTGATCAGGTTTCTACAAGCCTTGGGCTTTGCTGTCCCACAGCAGAAGACTACACCGCCACTGCAATTTCACACCTGTATTCATGCTCTATCAAATTAAGACTAATTGTATACACATTATGACTGCAGATGGAAAATGGTAGCGATTCACTCACGGTTTAATGACATCGACTAGAGGAAAGGAGAATGAAAATGTTTTCTTTATATCATCACATTTACATTTGGCAAAATCAACCCAATCACATTTTTTTTATTATTATTTTTTTTTTTGTACAAAATCATCTGTGCATGTTCCCCCTCTTTCTCTGCTGTTTTAAAGTCCAGTGGAGGCAATTAGCATGTCAGCCGATCACCATTTGTTCTGTTGCTTTTGGCTATTTTTACAGATGGGATGATTATTTCCTAAGAGGTAACAAGTCGACTGTTCCTTATTTAAGTCTTGCCAATCCCTGATGGAAAAAGAAAGGCAGTCGGCTCCCTCGCTATCTGCTCGCGGGAGCTTTGAGAAGTACCCGACCTGCTTGCATAACATCAAACAGCCAAAAGCACACGAATCTAACTCAATATGCGTCTCATAGGGGATATTTCCCGGGCATCCAGATAAAAAGCAGATGTGAGTGCAACAGTGATATACACACGCAGTGAAATGTCAGCGGAGTTATTCATGACAATGGCTAATTTTTCAGGTCATTTAAAAGAGGGCTGCAGTCTCAAACGTGTTCAGTTTCATTTGCACTCCCGCCCGGAATGACAAATGAGGCAAAACTAACGACAGACATACCCCAAGCACCTGAAATATTTGCATGACTTTGTATACTAACCATTGCTTTTTTCTTCTTTTTTTTTAAACATATTACACCATAAGAAGAAAGGAACTGAACACGTTGAAAAAAATGCTATTCCAGGTGCTGTTTCCCCCCATAAGTTGAGCGACGCAAACAATCACTCGGGGTAACATAAACCATGTAAAAATGGGAAATCAGTGCTGTACAGCAATTGGAAGAACTGGGCCAGGCAGGACCCAAAGAAAATAGAGCTACTTTGGGAAACGAACCTGAAGATAAATGGGGAAAAAAGTAGAAAAAAAAATGATCAGATTCACATATGGCTTCGGTTATCTAAAATAAAACCACATTTCACCTTTTCAAAAAAACACTTTTATGAAGTTTCAAAGCAATTGATTTTGAAAAACACAAACAAATCCAGAAGGCATTTAACTTCATTTACCTCCATATTATCACAGTGACACATAAATGCTGTAATTAAACATGAATTTAAAGTGTTACAAAATATATGAGGCCACACATTCAAAGCTGACCTTTTATTATAAACTGTTCAAAGTGTGTTTTTCCTGATAGCAGCTTTTGCACATACAAAGTCTTCTTATTACGTTGTAGAATGAAGCCATTGCTGGCGGAACAAAAAATATTATATACTAGATTTGAACACGACATTTATAGACAATGATACAATCATGGATGTGGTTATAGTTAAACCAAACACTGTGACTATGCAACTCTGTCCCCAGTGCGGATACACGCACACACAAGCACATATGCATGTTATTTTCATCAAAGACATTACAACCATATATATAGCTGTTATTCTTTTGACGAACATAACAGGCATATGTGTGTGTATATACATGTGTGTGTATATACACACACACATATATATATATATACACACACTATGGGTTCTAGGGCGGTTCTATGGTTCGAAGTAATCCAGTGCTTAGTCAATGACCTGGTCCTATCACGTATCATAACACAGGGATGGTGACTTTACAAGTCAAAAAAGGGACTGGGGCCCTAAACCTTGTAAGACCACTCCCTTGTGATACAGATGTAGCAAACATTAAAGGGACTAAAGAGAAAATAACACACTGCTTATATGGCTAAAATTAAACGGAAGTGTGTTTGCCGTTAACTAGCCGTGTCAATTTCTCTCACAATTCATTCAAAATTTTGGGCGAAAGCTGAAATCTCTGCAAAACATGCACGGTGACGCCCTCGATAGTTTGGTCGGCTCAGAAAGATGAACATACGTACATAAATAGATTAGCACTATACATTCTGACCCGCAGAATGGAAACCTGGAGTTTTTGTTTTTTTTCTGAGAAAAAGCTGAATTGTTATTTTCTAAATATGCATGCACCTCCACATGAAGTTAGTTAGCAGACAAAAATACATTCACAAATAGGCACAACATGCAAGAGTTGCATAATATTATGCTTCTCAGTAGTTTTGAGCAAAAAACAATAATGTTCAAACCTAAGTAATTATATAGAAATACTAAGGCAGTTGTTTGTGCCCTGTAGTAATACATACTGCAATTTTCCTCAAACTGATCTACGGCCTTTGCTGTGTATTGTCCATTCAGCTGACATTGTTTCGGGTGTTTGTATATCTTCAGTGTCATCTTTTCACTGGAGAAAAATATGTACATTTAAAAATTCATACATCGTTCAAAACTTTATTATAGTCGCTGGGA